GACGTGAGGCCTGGCTGGCTCCTTGTCTCCCGTGGGCTCCCTGTAGCCTCATCTTCAGCAGCTGAGGTGTTGCACCCCATGACTGCCAAGCTGAGGCCAGCAAGTGGTATCTACAAGTTCGGGAAATTAAGTCGAAGCCGCCATCCAGCTTCCTGAGCTCACAGAGGAACCTGAAATTCTCCACTAAAGGAGGGTATGTGGAGGGGAAGCCAAGGCCCTTAGATCAGCTGCCCCAGACTTTTGCGGAGCACCTGCTATGTGCCAAGTCCTCAGCTGGGTTCTGGTATTATTATCATTATCATTATTGTATCATTATTGTTCCTTTGGAAATTTCTTTATAAAATGAATATGTCTCTTGTTAAATAAAGCATCAGAAAATATGTAATAGAAAGTGAAAACCCCCTTCCAACTTATACATCATGCTTCATTTAATTTATTTAAACTTACACCAGGAGGTACTTTTAGGATTCCTGTTTTGCAGATGAGGTGGCTGAGGCCCAGAAAGGGGGAGTGAGTGAGTGGCCCAGCTGGTCCCACAGCGGGAGGGGGACGGACGGGAGGGGGGTTGGGGGTGCTGGGGCGGAGCCTGACTAGTGGGCAAGGCCCAGGGTGCCCTCCCCCTCCCCTCCAGGGTGGCGCTAGCCCCTGACTTACCTCTCCCTCCTCGACCCTGTTGGACCCTTTCCTCATCTCCAGTGTGCTCGTCCCTCTCCTTGACTCACTGCCAGGTCCTGAGGTGTGGGTCCCCTGCTGTCCTCTGGCCAGCATTAGGACCTCACACAGTTTCTGTCCAGGCCCACCTCCTCCCTTCCGCAGCAGGAGACGACTGTGTTCTGAGCTCTCTTTCCTGGAGACTCCGTCCCTGGGGTGTGTGTGTATGCACATTGCCACCTTGACCTCCTGGGAGCTTGAGCTGTTCCCTTCACCAGGGAGACTGCACTTCCTCACGGGTGTAGGGCCACCGGTGGCATTAAATTGGGCCAATGAAGTCCCCGGCTGGGCTTTGGTTTCCCCGTCTGTCAGATGCACATCAGCCCTACCTTCCCAGTGCCATGGTGACAATCGGACGGAAAACCAGTGCTTGGGAAAGTATTATTTGACAAATGCTAGTGGGTGTGCAAATTAACACCATTTAGGGGGTCTGGGGACCTTCCTGTTCCCCCACCCCCACACCTGCAGCCTCAGAACGTGGCAGTGGCTGACATGCTCAGACCCGCTGGGAGGCTTGGTCAGTGTGGGCTGTGTGGTCAGTTCCAAGTCCCGCGCCCTTCCGCCTTCTCTCCCTGGGTGACTCTGATTTGGGGCTCTGCGCCCCTGCTTGCAGGGAGCCTCCCAGATCTCACAGCATCACCTCATCTTCACCCTCTGTGGTTGCCGCCTGACCCGCTCTGTCTGGGCCCTCCTCTGCCCTCAGTCCGGGCCTTTCTGGTTCTGGGGGGAGCCCCCGAGCCCCTGGGGCGAGCTGTGGGAAGCCCCCTCCCACTCTGCCTCAGCATCTTCTCCTGGAAAGTCTGGGCCAGCTACTCTCTGAGAGTGGCTGTTTCTGGTGCTATCCCAGTGCCAGGGGTCACCTGCTGCCGTATGGCCTTTAGGCAAGGTGGGTCAGGCCCAGTGGGATGCAGAGTCTGGAGCCGGACCCCACAGAGGACAGGCAAGGGCCTCTGGTTTGCAGTGGGATCACAGGGCAGGAGTGGAAATGCAGGCTGGGGCGGTGGGCACACTGGGGAGAGGACGGGGACTCCTAGTCCTGGCGCCTTTCTGCCTGTTTTGTGACCCTGGCCTTCCCTGCTCTGGGCCCTGCTTGTGCTGCCGTGGAGAGCCGGCTGAGCTCGTACCTGACTCCTGCTGCCGCCCCACGTGGGGTCAGTGCTGCCTTCTCCGCTGCACACACTCTTGCTGCCTGTGAGGCCTGATGCGCCTTCATTCACTGACTTTCTGAGCACCTTCCCTCCGCTTGGTAATAAGGGTGGCTTCGTTCTGGGAGATTCCGGTCCAGCTGTCATCCTGAGCATGGTTCTCCAGGACAGGAGACTCAGCTGGCACTCACCACAGGGAGAGTTCCTGTCCACCTGGGTCATCTGGGACTGCTGATGGCCAGCTGGCCCTGAGATCAGCAGGCCTTGGAAATCCCCGTGCCGCTGCCTCTTTGCTCCAGGGGTCCAGGCCTGCCCTTGGGCAGCCCCTCTGATCTCAGGGAGTTTTCTCCTGCAGCTTCTTTGTCCCAAGCCCCCCAAGGCTGTAGCGGGGAAGACAGCCCTGTGCACCCTGTGTTTTGCTGCCTGAGCCCCTTCCTTGTCGGCTCGCCAGTGCAGAGACAAACTGGGCATCACTGGGTTCAAGGGACGCGGAGGGAGTGTCGGGTTCTGAACCTGCAGCCCCTGTCGCTTGGCCTCACATCTGAGGGAGCTCAGCTGCACACGGTGCCCTGGTTGTGGCGTGGAGGTGTGTAGTGCACAGTGCCTCTGCTCAGGGTCACACGGAGGCTCTCCCTGGGGTGTTTGGACACAGCCTCTCGGGAAGTGAGGGCCAGGGTCTCTCAGTTGCCCTGCTCCGAGTTGGGGCCATAGTGAGCCACTCCCTGGAGTACCCAGCACACAGGGCGGCCGAGGTCCTCCACGGGGGGCTTCTGATCTACTGAGGAAGCAGACATGGAGCTGAAAATGACGTGCACCGAGCATAGTGTTGATCAATGTGTGTTTAGGGCACCTGCAGAGTGGCCAGGTCCCCAGACACCTGCTGCTACTTACCTTTCAAGGCAGCTCCAGTCCCCTCCAGCCCTCAGTTTCCCCATCTGTGAACTTCGTGCACCTCTCAGGGGTGGCCCACCTTCCTGTTCCAGTAACAGGAATGTGGGGATGGGCCATGCACACTCCGGCCTCTTTGTTCCCTCCAGGTGAGGAGAAGGGCGGGCTGGGGAAGACCCTCACCTCACCTTAGTGCTTTTGGGGGGTGCCCAAGTCGGGCCAGGCATTTTACCACTCTGACTCCAACTCCCATAGTTCAGTGGGTACTTCTGTCTTGCACTGCTGTGCACATTGACCTTTGAAGTTAAAAATAAGCCTCCCTTGAGCAAGTGGTGACTTTTGTGTTGCAAGGTGGGCAGCTGTTCTTTGCCTGTGGGGGCCTCTTGCGGTGCGTGTTTGTCTCTGTTCGTCAGACTTTGGGGGAGGTGCTTTGCTCGGCAGAACCTTATTTTTCTTTCTGTTCCCTTCCATCCTGTGGACCTCTTGGCAAAACCCTTGTTAGTTCTTAGCTGCAGGGCAAGGGGAGGAGCCAGAGGTTACTGGCAGCCTGGGTCTGCCCTGTGTGGAGCTCGAGATCCCTCTGTCCCCCTCCGGCCTGTCTTGCAGAGGGCGCTGGGGCCTGGCTGGATGTAGGTCCTAAAGCTAAAGCCCTTCCAGGCAGGTGGAGCTGGCTTTGCTCCTGCTGCCTGCCTGCCGCCTTGTCACTTGGCTGAGTTCCTTAACCTGCTGGGCCTCCACTGTGTCCGTATGGATGATGTTGGGTGTGTCTCAGGGTTGCTGTGTAGCTTGATGGAGAGAATACACCTGAATACTGAACCACCGGCAGGTGACCTGGTGATTAACCAGTGGCGAGATTAAATTCATCCTGGTTCACTTTCCTTTTAAAGGGCCTTTGAGGACCCCTAAGGAGGACAGGTTTTGCCTTGGGGGGTGGTTTGGGGAGGAGATTTTGGGCCCTCCCGGCGTCTTTCTGAGGCCCTTGTTGGATGCACTGGGAGCTTTGCGTGCTGTTCCTAGAGCTGGGCGCTGGGGGCGTTCTCATTACTGGGTCTTGCTGCTCTCTGCCTGGAATTTTCTTCTCCAGGCAGCTCCCCTCTTACCATCTCCTCACCTCTTACCAGGTCATCGCTGAAACAGCTCTTCCTCTTCAAGGCCTTTCCTGCTTCTCCTTTTAAAATGAAAGTCCCTGGCCCGTCTTTCCTGCCTAATTTTTGTTACTGACTTTTTTGTCAGCTGAAACCCTGTGTTGCCTAGCATCCTTTCTGCTCTGCTACTAGGAGGTAAGCCCCACGAGGACTTTTGCCTGCGAGAGCCTGGCTGTGCATACTGTCTCTGCTCACTCTGGTCAGGCTCTCGGGGGGATTTGAACATGGCCTTTCGGGAGTGAGGATTTCCCGATACCCAGCCTGGACCCCAGCTCGAGGCGGCTCAGTAACTTGTCATTGAATGAATGGGCGAGTGAGAAGAGCGTTTCTCTCAGGTGATGGTCATTAGGGTTCTGAAATCACTTTGCAGAATGATTGCAAATGAAATAAAGCAGCTGAGATCGAACAGATTAATACCGAGAAACTTGCTGTACAAATAAATAGACAGTGGTTTGACGGGAAATTCTTCTGTTCATTAGAACTGGAAGGGATGGACCGCTCGTGACCTGGGACCAGAGGAAGAGGGTGACAGCGTACTAAATATTAGTCAGGGTTTTTCTCCTTCACTGTAAAGTTCACTGATTGAGTTTAACACTCTCGTTTCCCCTCATCAAAAAGGGGATGGGACTCTCCCATCCCACTGTGAGTTAATGGCTTAGGCCATTTATTCATTGGTGAACGTCCAGGGGCATTTACTTCCTAGCTGACACGGTGTTGGGCACTGAGGCTGCGGGATTCCTGTCCTGGGCGCATCACACAAGCCACAAACTCAGGCTTTCTCGTTCCAAGTGCAGTCCTTTCTTGTACTGCACACTGCAGCCCTGTAGTTGACTGCTGTCCCAAATGAGCTGGCAGTGCAGCGAGGCCGCTGAAAGAAACAGCGCCGTCTGTTCTCCGGTTGCATTAGTAGGAGCAGAGTATCCAGATCAAAGGGGCCCACTGCTGTGCTCCCTTTGCTGTGGTCAGACCAGCCTGAAATGCCTGGCTCTGTTCTGGGTCTGTTCTGGGCCATGTGGATTGCTTTTTGGAGCATTGGCAGAGTAGAGCTTCTCCAGAAAGAAAGCCCCAGTGGCCTGGCCAGCCCCATGATACACTGCTGTTGTCCTTACAGCCAGGTGGGCACCACGGCAGGGGCTGAGCCACCCTCATGGAAGGGAGAGGACCCTACCGGATCTACGACCCCGGGGGCAGCACACCTCCAGGAGAGGCATCTGCAGCTTTTGTACGCCTAGTGGAGGAGAATTCACGGCTGAAGGAAAAAATGCAAGGGATAAAGATGTTAGGTAAAGCAGCACCCACTGCCTCCTTGGGAGCCTGTTCCCAGATCTCCCTCTGCCCCCCCAGGCCACGTGGCCTGCCCATGGGTGTGTTTGTATGCACTTCTGTGAGCTAGTGACCTTTCCCAGCCCTGATTCCAGCCCATCAACCCAAAGCACCTTGGTGCATGGGATGGGGGTCGGGGTTGGGAGGGCCGTTTGTGGGCCTGATCTGGCATGGGGAGAGCCATGACTGATGGGGAGAGCCAGCCTTGCCAGGACAGCCAAGAGGCGGCACAAGGAGCAGAGCCCACTTGAAGCCGAGTGGCATTCCGTCCCTCAGTTTCCTTTCTGGCGTCTGCTCAAGCTATGCCCACTGCCTACCCGAATTGTCCCCATACCGGCACACATGTGGTCTCCTCCATGCCAGGCCTTTCAGACTTCTTCACCCTCCAGCTCCTAAAACGCTTCCTCTGCCCCGATGCCACCTGCTCTGGTCTCCGTTTGGAGGTGGTGGGAGCATAGCTCCCTGTCTTTTCAGATCCTTTCCTTTCCTTGGCAGGCCCCTCACGGGATGCCTATGGGAGGGAAGGGTGGAATGTGCGCTTTTGCATTAGAGAAGGAATACTGAGGCCTGGAGTGCTGGGTGTTCTTCGCAGGGTCTCCACCGTGCTGGCAGTGGGCTTAGGCTGTGGCTTGCTCTGGGTACCAGGGTGGCAGCCCCTAGAGACCCCCTGGCTTCCTGTGCCCTGGCCAGGTATGGGGAGTAAGACAGGAAGGAGGGTGCTAGAGGACCTGGAGTCCTTCCTTCCTTCCCTGCATTCATTTCCCTGATTGCTGGGTCCTCTTCCTCACTCTAACCTGGTTCCGCTGGTGGGCCAGCGTGGCAGTCCCACCGGGGCTGCAGAGCAGTGGTGGTAGTGAAGTCTAGGGCCTGGGCCTTGAGAGCCAGGCAGAGGGAGGTGTGGGCCACAGGACAGAGAGAAGAAGCCCTGCACTGAGCCAAGTGCGTCCTTGTTGCTCCTTCTTCCCCAATTGTCTCTCCAGGGGAGCTTTTGGAAGAATCCCAGATGGAGGCATCCAGGCTCCGGCAGAAGGCTGAGGAGCTCGTCAAGGACAGTGAGCTGCCACCTGCTCCTTCCTTGGGCTCCTTTGACCACCTGGCTGAGTTCACAGGTACGAGGAGTCAGGGCGACTGTACCTTTCCCTGTACCCCAGCTGCCTCAGCCGTGAACAGAGCATTCTCTTTTCACCCTGAAGCCACATCCCCTTCATTTATCCTTAGGCCACATCCCTCTCTTATTTTGGCTGCAGAATCCCCCAGAAAAGTCAGAAGATCTGGAAGGGACTTCACGGTCTTGTTAAAACTGACTGTTGACTCAGTACTCCTGAGGCCTGGCACACAGTAATAAGTCACAGTGATCCACTGCACCCAAGATGTGGCCCCAGGACCTTTACTGGCATGTTTATTCAGCAGATACTTAAGCAGCAGTGCTGTGCCAGGCACAGTGTGCCAGGTGGCTGCCTCCTGTCTCTCAGAGCTAGCACATGAGTCGCCATCTTTCTGCTCTGCCCCCTCTCCACTGTGTTTTGTCATTAGAGAAGCTGAAGCTCAGAGAAGAATCTGGATTTGCCTGCTGTGGCATATTTCAGACGTTACCTGTTAAAGGAGAGTGCCAGAGTCCTTGTGTGGTCATCCTGCATCACTCCAGCCTGTCTTCCAGTCTAGGGCTGAGTCAGGACAGGGAACATGGGCTCAGTGGCCTCCCGCTGCAGCTGCGCCTTCCCATCCCTGCCTAGCCCAGTGCGACAGCCTTCTGCTGGGCTGTGTGGACAAATGGAGGAAGCCGGGATCTGAATGCACTGTGCTGTGGTCAGTGGACATCTCCAGCCTCCACTGGTCCATTCAGCAGTGCTTTCGGAGTCCCTGCTGGGTGCCCATCTATCCCAGTGTGAAGCAGGGCCACCTCCGATCTTCCAGTAGGAAAGCCCTAGGAGCTCGGGGAGACGGCTCAGCTTGGGTCCTGGTTTGCAGTTGCTGGTGGGGTGACTGTGGGCAGGTTGGTCTTGCCAAACCTGTTTCCTGTTTCCTTACTTTAAGATGGGGATACATTGCCAGGAAAATAGTTATAAGAGCACTTGATTGTAAATCATTGTGTTTATGTCACCACTGAGGCAGGCCCAGGTAGCGGGGGCCACCTTAGGGAGTCCAGGGAGGCTGCTGTCCAGACTCTGGCCCCGTCACTGCTGTCCGAGAGAGCCTCCCAGCCCATCTCCCTGGCTCCCGTGGGGAATCTGAGGGAGAGCTCTCCAGTCAGGCAGCATCCTTGAGGGACCGCCATCTGGGCCCCCTTTCCGGTCTCTTCATCCATGATCTCGATTTTTCCAGGGAAGGACACAAATGTCCCAGCACCACCCAGTGCTCCTGCACCCCCGAGCGACAAGTCCGCACCAGTCCCAAAACCTCCATCCAGCGTAAGTTGCATTTGGAGCTGTGGCTGGAGTTTGCCGGACTTCACGATCCTACCGATAGATACAAAAATATGAAGAACAAGGGTTGAGGCCAAGAAAACAGTGTTCTCACCTGCTAGGTGGTACTGAGCAAGTCAGTCTCAAGCCCTGTGAGGCATCAGTTTGCCCATTTTGAAGTGAACATTGTAGTTGAAACTTACCCGGAAGACCCGGTGTGTGCAGTGAGTTTGTTTTACCAGACTGGATAATGTTAAGTGCGCCCTGACTGCCTGGTGCTGGGAAAGTAGATCTGTGACATGAGGCCCAGACTGCCCGAGAGTTATCCTCCTGCAGCTGGGTGTGGTGGTGCACGCCTGGAATCCCAGCACTCTGGAGGCAGAGGCAGGAGGATTGCTTCAAATTTGAGGCCAGCCTGGGCTACATAGTGAGTTCAAGGTCACCTCGGACTACACAGAGAGACCCTGTCTCAAAGAAAAAAGTACCCTCTGCAGGTCTGGAAGGGTGGTTTGGTATCCTCGGTCTTGGAGGTGCCCAAGCAACTCTAGTTTACCATCTTCCTCCTGCAGATCAAGCCCAGGGACCAAAGGGGCTTCCTTGAGGTCTCACAGTTAACTGGGAATGTGAAGGGTCGGGCAGGGCTTTCTAGGGCAGGGTTCAGTCCAGAGTTGAGGTCATGGTGCTCAGGAGTCTCAGCTGGAATCTGGGTGTGGTTTCTTCCATCCTGCCCTGGCCCTAGACAAATGAAGGCTAAGACAGTCTTTTTGTTTTCGTGTCTTTGGTACCGGGGATCAAACTTGGTTCCTTGCAGGCTTTCAAGGCAGGCAGCACACCACTGAGCTAAATCCCTGGCCCTGTTTTTGTATTTTGAGACAGGATCTTGCTTTGTAGTTCAGGCTGGCCTTGAACTCACTATGTAGCCCAGGCTGGCCTCGAATTCACAGCAGTCCTCCTGCCTCAGCCTCCCGAGTGCTGGGATTACAGGGTGATCCACCACACCAGGCAAGAATTGGTCTTTGCAGCCAGTTTTAATGGGAATCCTAAAGCCAGTGTAGGTTCAGATGGACCATTGGCCCATCAGTCAGGTGAACAAGCAGGGATGTCTACCGGGAATGCCCGAGAGGTACAAAAAAATATGAGATTGGCTGATCCCTGTGGGTTTGGGTGAGTTCTGAAAGTCTCTGCATTTGTTGAACTCTTGGGACTTTTCTTAGGTCAGTCCACTCTGAGACTGGCACACGAGCTTGTCTGGTGGGAGCCATAGCAGCTGTTGCCTGTCGTCTCCAAGCTGTCAGAGCCATGTGGGTGAGCAGGCAGCTGACGCCATAGCAGAGCTGCAGTCACAGGCCCAGTGCCTGCTCTGCACTGTCTGCATGACCTCTGTGTCCTTAGCTGTCCCAAGGGTGCCACCCCTGGACCCTCTCCACGGGTGGCTTTGAGGGTTCATAAAGGTCATGAACACATTCTAAAAGTACAAGCCTTTAAAAATGTAATTATAGGGCTGGGGATTTAGCTCAGTGGTTCAGCAGCCTGCCTTGCCCTGGTACCAAAAAAAAAAAAGGAATCATAGCTGAGCGTGGTGGTGCACACCTGTAATCCCAGGTACTGTCTTAAAATTAACATACAAGCCTGGGGATGTCGGGACATGGGTAGTGCACTTGCCCAGCGTGTGGGTTCGGCCCTCAGTGCAGAACTGAACAGAAGGTAACCCTGAAGTCCCAGTCCAGGGTCAGCCTGCCCAGCATCCCTGCTTTAGGGCTGAGAAACTGGCTGTCGCCAGGGGCCGCCCTCAGGCTCGGGTGCCACCCTGCAAGCTCAGCTGCACAGAGTAGGCTCCCTGGTGGCGCTAGGCGTGAGAGGCGGTCACATCCTGTTCTGCCCCTCGCTGCTCTTGGGGGTGCAGTCCAAGAAGAGGGCTGGGTGTGCTCTCTTGGGCAGCGGCTAACCCCTCCACAGGGCACATCCTCGGAATTTGAAGTGGTCCCCACCGAGGAGCAGCATTCTCCACCGGAAAGCAGCAGCCTCCCCAGAAACTCCATGGTGAGTGGCTGGGGCCCCTGAGCGCATCCTGCTGTTTCCTCTCTGCCACGTCAGCTCTCCTGTGTGAGTGCCGTGGAACCCACCCGCATCCCTTGGGTACCTTGGAGTCACAAGGGACACGGGGCCCAGGGTGGCAGGTGCTTCTCGCTTTCATATGCAGATCCTCAGCTGGTGACTTCCCTGAAGTGGGGCACACAGCGCCCAACTGTTGTGAGTCTGGGCACTCTGCCAGCCCTGGCCCCATGGGCAGTCACCTCCACACAGTGGGGCTTGGCCCTGCGGGTCTGTGGGGTTCTCACCCAGGGGGAGTGGAAGAGCCAGGAAGGCCCAGGGCCTCTGAGGCAGGTGGCTCATCTTGCCCTTGTGTGCGGGCTGTAGGGTTGGAGGTTAGGCTTCTCATTTGCGCACTCATACAGCACCTGCATGCACACAGCCGCTCAGCTCCGAAGTATCTTCCCAGCATCTGCATTCTGTGCCTTGCACTTTGCGACCTTTATCCCAACTACGTCTTCCTTCTTTTCTCGCCTAAAATGTCAGCCTTAGTGGCAAGCCATTGTGAACAGTCTGGAAGATTCTTACTTCCTTCTCCCTGCCTTCTGACTGGGAACCTTAAAATCAGTGTTGTGCAAAAAATAATAAATAAATAAATAAATTTAGCATTAAGCTGGGGATTTAGCTCAGTGGCAGTGTACCTCCCTGGCAAGAGCCAGGTCCTGAGTTCGATCCCAGTACCAAAAGATAAAATTAGCGTTGTGCCAGTAATACTTGCTCTAACCCTTTGTGATACTGTGCTTCCTGCTGCCTCTTCCGTAAAGATCTGGGTAGCTGAAGCTGCTCTTCTGTTCAGACGCTTCGCGGGTGTGTGAAGGGGCCATCCAGCCTCCCTCCAGGGAGGAGAGGCTTGTTAGCACCAGGCTGCTGTACAGTGCTGTTAGGAAGGGTCCATGTTGTGTCTCCCGGGGGTCTGCGTCCGTTGTCCTGTTCTGTCCCTGAAGAGTCTGAAACGTTGGCTGAAGAGGCATGACCCCGCCGTTGGAGATTGTCACTTGGGCAGTGACCTCGCCTCTCTGATAAGTCCATCCTACCCTACAGTGTGCGAAGTCTGCTGAGCTGGGAGGAGCTTGCCTCCTGCCCCGGAAGAGGGTAGGCTAGGTGGAGAGATCCAAGGGGTTTGAAGCACCCCATGAGACTTAAGTAGAGAAAGCGACGTCAGCCCCTTTTGATCGTTTGTGGAACGAGTCCGTGGGGAGGCAGCGCAGTGCTGAGCTGGGTTAGCAGACAGGGCCGACAGCACCCAGTGCCCAGCTGCTGCAAGGCGGAGCACTGATTGAGGCCAGGAACTCTCAGCTCCTGCCACGCTGTGCCTCTGACTCACCGGGCAGCTGTGGCAAATGCCTTCTGTCCGTGCCTTGGTTTACACCCTGAGCCCAGAGTTCCCATAGCTGGGATGCCCTGTAATTCCCATTCCTGGAAGACCAGAGCATCGGCAGGGTGGGGACACAGGAGCAGGATTTGCAGAGGTAGAGAGGAAGCTGTGGGAATGAAGCCCAGAGAAGCACAGGAGCTCAGGCAGGGGCAGGGGTAGGGGCAGCTCCATCCCTCCTGTTGCTGGGGGAAGCCAGGCCCGTGTGGTCCTGGCATGGACCCGTCCCCGGCAGTGTCTTTGGCGAGATGGATTATCTTGCCTGAGATCCACATGGACTTTACTGGGAGGGATTCTCTGAACTAACTAGGGCTGTGATTTCCAGCTCTTTGGAGTCTTGGGCCCTTTGAGAAGCAGGTGACTATTTAGACCTTCCCAGGAGAGTTGTGGCTCCTGTGTTGAGCCTCCTTGAGCTGAGGCAGGGATGCACACATGGGGATGTCTCTTTGCGGGCACTGCTGCTTCTGTGTTCCTGGCTCCTCACCGGAAGCCTGGGCGGAGCCGACGGGGCTGTGCAGCAGTGGGGATGGGCTGGGGGCACCTGTGGGGGCCTTGGCAGAGAGCAGTGGTGCCCCCTCCCACAGGAACCGCGCCCCCTGCCCCGAGAGGACAGCAACCTGATGCAGCACCTGCAGCGCCTGGAGACCACCCTGAGCGTGTGCGCCGAGGAGCCAGACCAGCGGCAGCTCTTCACGCACCTGGGCCGCATGGCCCTGGAGTTCAACCGGCTGGCCTCCAAGGTGCACAGGAACGAGCAGCGCACCTCCATCCTGCAGGTGAACCTGCCCCTCGCCCCTCCACCCCTCCAGCTCTCGGGGCATCCTGGGTGCCAGGGCCCCTGCGAGGGCTGCGTCGAAGGCAGACTTTGAGCTTCCCATTCAGGGTGCCAAAGGCAGGGCTGTGAGGAAGTTGTGGGGCGGTGTGAGGGAGAGAAGGAGGTGGGGAAACCTGCGGCGGGCAGTGCACCTTGCTGGGCAGGGGGCGGCCGGGGGTGGCGTGGCAGCTAGGGGTGACCCTGCCTTTGTTCTTCTTGGGGGGACAAAGGCTCCCCTTGCACCCCGAGGCAGAAGCCAGTGCGGCGCCCATGTCACAGTGGGGAAACAGCCCGAGGAATGATGCTTCTTGCCCAGGGTCACCCAGCTGGTAAATGGAGTCAGAACTGGAACCTCAGCCTGCCATATCCTAAAGGTCCTGTCCTTAGCCAGGCATGGTGGCGCTCACCAGTAATCCCAGCACTCTGGACGCTGAGGCAGGCGGATCAAAAGTGCTGGCCCAGCTTGGGCAGTTTAACAGCTTGGCAACACCCTATGTCAAAATAATGTTTTAAATGGCTGAGGATGTGTGGAGGTCCTGGGCTAAATCCGCAGTGCAGCCAAACAGAAGCCCGTGTCCTTAAGCACCATCCCAGCCTGCCTGCCTGAGAGAGTTCTTTCTCAAAGCTTCCCTGTGTAGGGGATAGGCAGGTTGCCCTGCTGCACCAGCCCAGGCCTTGGACTTACGTGGGCCCTGGTTCTTCATAGCTGTGTGACCTTGGACAGGTTGTTTCTCCTCTCTGCAAGATGAGCCGGGTGCCTTCCCCATGTGGTGGCTGTACTGAGCAAGGTGATACACAGGAAGCGCCTGGTGCCATGGAGAGGATAGTGCAGGACACGAGTCAGTGCAGGGCGGCGTGAGGATGGCCGCCCGCCGGGCAGTCCTGGCCTCGGGGGCTCTGGAGGTGGAAGATCCCTATAACGCCGGTGATCCTTCCGAAGATCCCGGGGAACTGCTCAGGACCGAGTGTCTGTGGCAGTGGGGACAGAGCCACACCCTAACGCCTCTCTCGTCCCTGCCAGCCCCTGGTCAGCGGTGTCGTGTCACAGGCGTTCAAGTGCCCTGAGGGGCCCCTGTGCGACCTCAGGCAGCCGGGGTGGACGAGAGCAGCATATGTCCAGGCTGGGAGTGTGGCACGAGGAGGGAGATGGGGAGAGAGGGCAGAGGTGGAGGGCACAGCGTGGAGGGCTGCAGGGCAGGCCGAGGGAAAGGAGCCCTTTCAGGTGCCACGGGAGCGTTGCTGTCCAGGCACAGTGTGGGCTGAGGTCACTGGGAACATCAGCCGAGAGGGAGATCAGCTTCCTGACGGTCTCGCCAGCCTTAGCTTTCTGTATGCAGCTCTGCCTGCTTCCTTCTTTTTCTTTCTTTGGTACCAGGGATCGAACTCGGGACCTTCCGCTTTCGAGGCAGGCGGCGGCACCACTGAGCTCCATCCCCACCCAACTGGCAGTAGTTTCTTGCTCAGCTTTTCTCTTCCTTGCACGTTCTGCTGGGACACAGGCCGTGCCAGGCAGGCCGGTCCCTAGCCCGCCGTGTCCCCTGTAGCCCAACTCCTACCCTCCCTGCTCATTGCTGAGTGAGTGAGTGAGCAGAGCAAGGGGCCTGGCAAACGCAAGGTCTGGGTTCAGTCCCTGGTACCAAGGCATGCTCCAGGCCCTTGACAGGTGATGCTGCCTCTGACCACCCGGTGTGCGCTCGGGCCGTTTCCTCAGAAGCCGGGGAGCTCCCCTCCAGCCTGGAAGAGCAGTAGGCAGGGCCCCGTGGTGGCCTCCCGTGACCAGGAGCAGGATGCTCTGTTTCCAGGAGGCCCCGCCCATCCATCACAGGGCTGTGGGCGGGGTGAAACTCCAATTCCTCCACATTCATTCGCTCATTCATGCTCAGCAAACATTTTCGAGGCCTCATGCAGCATGCAGGGAGCCAGGAGCAGCAGCGTCCTGTCTCCTGGGCCTCAGGCTCCCGGGCAAGGCTTTCTCCTGCGCTCAGCCCTTCCAGGACTCCACCTTCTAGAAGGGGCCAGCACTGGAGTCTCCCGGGTGACATGGCAGAAGTGCCCCTCAGACCGGGGTGGCAGGGCTTGTTTCTGCTCCTCACTGTTCTTAGACCTTTAGCGCCTCTCCAGGTGAAATGAGACCCAGGGATTGTGTGGAGCCAGCCTAGAAGAGGCACGGTCACTTAGCTCTCGTTGTGTCCCATTGCAGTGAGCCCAGGCGTGGGAGGGCAGCTGGGCTCCTTGCAGAGAGGCAGCGTCTCTGGCCCCAGCATCGCTCAAGGGCTGGCTGACCTCCTGCTCCACCACTGGCTTTTTTGCTCTTTAATCACAGAGGAAAGAGACGCTGGTTTAGGGTCTCCAAGGGTAGTGTAAGTCTAGGGGTGAGGGTTTTTTTCTTTCTCCCTTTAGTGTGTGTGTGTGTGTGTGTGTGTGTGTGTGTGTGTGTGTGTGTCAGACTGGAGATCAAACCCAGGGGCACTCTCATCACTGAGCTGCATCCCCAGCCATTTTTCATTTTGAGACAAAGTTTCACTGAGTTGCCCAAGCCGGCCTCAGACTCAAGCTCCTGCTGCCTTAGCCACCTCCCAAGTAGCTGGGATTACAGGTGTGCACTACCACACCCAGCCCCATGGTGATCATCAGTTGTGGTACAGCTTCATGCAAATTATCTTACCTGGTGTCTCTGCCTTCAAGACGGAGATGAATTACTTAGCTTTGGGGAAGTTGTGTGAGTCCCGAGGAGACTGGACAGGCAGCCAGCCCTGGTGCACATCTGAGCGCTTCCATTGACTGCATCGGCGCTGCCTGGTGACACCTTCCCCTCTTCCCGCACAAGGGAGGCCGGGTCCGCCCCCCGCCAGGTGCTCCGGCCACAAGTCCTCTCCGAGCACCCCTGACGGCGGGCGAGGCCCTCGCACTGTGGCCTTACCCAGCGACCCTGAGGGAGGCAGGGAAGGAGCAGCTGTCCCCTTCTGTGGAGGAGGCCACCTCAGGAGGGCGTGGTGAGGAGCTGCCCGTGCCTGTCTGCCGCCCGCCCGCCCACTTGCTCGGACTGCAGCCTGTTCTGCTCTCACTGGCTCCATGGCCTCGCCTGGTCCTTAGTTCTTCAGTCACCCACTCGGCCACGAGGCCATGGGCTGCTTCAGCGGCTTGACAGGGCTGGGGATCTGGCAGGGGACGAGAGTGGGGAAGGGCTCTGGCCTCTGAGAGTGCCCCAACTGCTGGTGAGTGCGGGCGTGGGTATTAGGGAACATGGATTTACCACCGCCTGCCTCGAAGGCGCCAAGTCCCGAGTTCGATCGGTACCAAAAGAAAGAAAGAAAACATGAATTTAGAAAGTTGTTCCACTGTACTCACCACAAGTGCAAGGCTGAGAATGGCCTTCGGGCGGGGGTAATGAGGTGCCCTAACCTCGCTGGGCTGGGCGTGGGGGTCCCTCCCCTGCGGAGATAACCCCTGATCTAAGGTAAGAGGGCAGAGGAGAGGTGGGTGGGGTGGTGAAGGGAGCCAGGTGGAGCTCCGCCTGGAGGACCAGGAGGCCTGGTCAGCGCCCTCACAGCCCACTCCCAAGGAGGAGCCAGATGGCCCGGCCGACCCACGGCTGTCCCTTAAGGGACCCGGGGAGGCCTGTTCAGGGGCTAAGGCTTGGGCCCTGGGCCACACCCTGGTTCCCAGCCCCACCTGCATGGGAAAGGGGCGCCCTCTGCTTACTCTTGCCCCATCCACCCACCCCCCCCCAGACCCTGTGTGAGCAGCTTCGGAAAGAGAATGAGGCCCTGAAGGCCAAGCTGGACAAGGGCCTGGAGCAGCGGGATCAGGCTGCGGAGAGGCTGCGGTGAGCATGTGGGAGGGGCGAGGGTGGGCGGCAGGACTGTGGGTGTCACGCAGGTGTTGGCGCCGAGGACCCGGTGCTTGGAGCTGTTAGGATGCAGGGCTCTTGCTCAGCTCCTTGGTGTCTTTGGTGTTTTCTCTCAGGCCCTTTTAATACCTTGGCGACTGTGAGCTGTGCCTGAGAGCCTCCCCTTGGGGACCTGCCTCCTTAGCCTGGAAGTGACAGTTGTCTCCCCAGGGCATTGCTGCCCCCTGGTGGCCAGCCAAGTCCTTCGTCTGGACTGTGTTAGTGGGCCTCAGCCTGAACTGAGAGTCCAGGAGGGTGATGCCGGTTTCCACTCCCTCCCTCCCTCCTTGGCAGGACTTGCTCCTGGCGCTGGGTGCGAGGTAGGAGCCTGCATTTCATCACCTGTCTGTTTCTGTGATGCAGGTGGGCGCAGGTTCATTGTCAGAGCTCTGCAGTCGTGAGGGCCAAACCCCTCCTTGTGTGAGGGGGGCTGAGGCCCAGAGAGAGGCAGGGCCTTGCTTTGGTCTCACAAGAGCCCGGTCTCCTTGCTCGGCATGTGCGAGATGCTGCAGTGCCTCCACATGTACAGGAGAGGTGGTGTTGTGTACCCCACACACCCCGATACAGTCAACAGAGAGAGAAGTAATGTGCTTCAGCATGGCCACAGGGATGTGTACTGAGCCCCCACCAGCATGTCTGTATCCACTTTTGGTTGGCCAGGGAGTGGGGGTTTTATAGCCATACCAACTCCATCCATTGACGCAGAACGCCAGGCTGGAGGAAAGACTCATGCATTAGAAGGCCACGATGTAAGTCCTCACTGTGTGACGGGAAAAGCTGCTTCACTTCCCAGGTTGTTGGGTATTGAGTGGAAAATCTCTGGCAAATAGAATTTAAAGAAATGTCTTCCATATTTCAGTCATCCCCGAATCCATATCACCACTTCTATCCTATAACGCTGATCTTATTACATTCTTAAGATTTTAGTTTGACCTCATTTTTACTTAAGGATATCAGCAGTTGGTGGCTCAGTGTCACTGCTAGTGAAGACCCTGAGCCTGTGGCTGCTCTTCCTGTGATATCAGGGGAGACCCACAAGTGCCAGTGTGGCGCCCGGGACCCGCCAGCACCACACGGAGGCCTCGTCCTGCTCTGCCTGGATGCTGAGTGGCTGGAGAGGGTGGGCGGGCTACTGAAGCAGGGTTGGACAGGTCTGCAGCTCTCGTGGCCATGTGCAGGTGCCTTGCTGCCGAGCCCCAGAGGCTTCTGGGAAACCTAGTGGAGGATGCTCTTTCGGGCCTCCTTGAGGGTGGGTGTCAGGATCTTGCTGTGCCGCCCAGGCTTCCTGGAGCTCACATGGCAGTAGGTCTGAGGCCCTGCCTGCTCCTTCTCCCTGGGCCAGCATCGTGACTTCTCTGTTTACTTCCATCCCAGGGAGGAAAATATGGAGCTCAAGAAGTTGTTGATGAGCGGCAGCAGCAAAGAGGGGACCTGCGGGCAGCCAGGCTCGCCAAAGCTGGAGAGTGCTGGCAAGCAGGGGGTGGCCGGACAGCAGCAGGTATGTGGTTAGAAGCCCTGCTGTGGTGTCCTGGGTGCTGGTACCCAGCGTCTTCACCACCTGTGCGATTATGAGCTCTCGCCTCCACAGCCACACTGAGGCAGGGAGGTCTGGATAGCACACGGCATTCCACAGCTTGTCTGACACCTCCTGCCCGGCGTCCACTCCTTAGCCTTTGCCCTGACTGCGGCCGGCGGAGCATCTCATCCGTTCCCCGGGACACATGCTCAGATCTGCGGGCTCTGGGCCTCTCCTGGCTCACTAGCTGCCAGTCACTCAGCCATTGTGTGTAGATGGTGGCGGTCTGGGCACAGTCCCCAAGCACATTCCAGTTGTCACCCTCTTAAAGGGGGCCTCCCAGATGTCATTTTAACCTCTCAGGAAGAATTAGGGCGTTGGCTTAGGGGGCCCTCGGGATCCTGCTCAGCTCCTGCGGTCACACCCGGGAGCCTCTGAAGTGGAGGCTGGGGCTCTGGCCAGCTTCAGCATAGCCCAGTCGTGCCCAGGGCCGGCCACGCCCTCCCGCCACCTCCAGGGCCGGTCCTGGTTCACAGCAGGTCCCAAGTGCCCCTTGCCCAGCCTCACTATGCCCTGAGTCCCAGCTCTTTACCATCATGTATGTCTTCCCTTAAATGGGGTTTAATGGCTGCACAGTAGGGCTCAGTGTCGTTAACAAGCTGGGTACCTCAGTAACTCCTTGTTACTGTGCAGCAGGGCTTGCCAATCTGTGGTCTCCTGTGGTCCTCCTGCCTTGTGCTAGCGGGGCAGGCCCGGGCCCTTCCTGTTCTCTACAGCTGTGATGAGAGGTCTGGCGGGGCCCCACATTGTCGTTGCGCCCTTGGGAGGACGTGGGTACAGGCAGGGAAGCGCTAGGTGAGCGGCTTCTGAGTCAGCCCGGGGCTCCTCTGCCCCTCCAGTTGCCCCCAGCTCCAGGCCTGCCTTCACCAGCCCCTTGAGGAGGCCGTGGGCTGTCCTGACCTCCCAGGGGTGCTCGAGCGGCCGCAGTGGAGTTCTGTGCGCAGGCCTCTGCTTCCCGGCACCTCCACATCCTCCACCCTCACCCACCGCCCCGAGACCGGAGGCTGCTCGAGCCGTCAGGGAGGAAGTGGCCACCGTCCCATCAGGGGCATGTCCCGGGGCCCGGCTCCAGCTGTTGCCCATACCACAGCCTGGGACAAGTCCCACAGACTCTCTGGGCCTCGGCTTCCTCCTCTGTAGCACAGAGGAGGTGACACCTCCCTCGGAGCTGTGGGGAGTCCGCGCTGATGCAGCGCACAGGAAGCTCTTCGTCTTGGGAAACGGTGAGCAGATCGCTGCCAGCCGTCAGGCCCGCGGCCTCGGCCTCTGGCTCTTCCCACTCCTCCCCCGCTCCATTCTTCTCTGTGAGGGTTCCGGGTGCAGCACGCAGGACCCTGACGCCCTCCCTCCCCTTCCTCTTCTTCCCTATAGCGGGACAGCTCACCCCAGCAGGCAGCAGACCTGAGGGCCAGGCCTGTCCCCGCCTCGCTCCCTGCTGTCACTGTGCTTGTAGGCTCAGCCCGTAGAGGGCGCACGAGCCCCACAGTTGCACCTCCCAGCCCAGCGGGGAGCCCTGGTGTCAGAGGTCTGGGTGGCTTGCAGAGACACCTCCTGTTTCATCTTCTCACCCCTCGGCCCAGGCAGGGTGAGGGTTGCACAGGTCCTAGAGATAAAGCCAAGGCTCAGTTTCTGCTCTCAGAGCCTTGTTCTGTGGTTTCACTTCAATGCTTTTTATTTAATTTTAAAACTCTGTTTTGAGATCATTTTAAACATGTGGTAAAATAGTCCAGAGTTCTCACACCCCTCCTCTGGGCTGCACTGATGCCCCATTGTCCCTGATTCAGCCGTCCAGACCAGGAGGTGCCTGAGTGCGGTGCCGTCAGCCGTGCTTCAGCCTCCACTGGGCCCTGTCTCCTGTGTGGCTCACACGCGGTGTGCCGCTCTGGAATGCAGGCTCCCGTGGCACTGAGTTGTCCCATCTTGAGCTCCCGCTGTCCAGGACGATCCCAGCTGTTCCTTATTTTCCTGACCTCCACACTTGGCACTGCCCTGGCCAGTTGTTTTGTAGAATGCTCTTCAGTCTGGGTTTATCTGCTGTTTTCCCGTGATTAGAATGTGTTGTGGATTTGGGCAAGGGTCTCACAGGAGTGCCGCTCTGTGCACACGCGTGTGCAGTGGCTCACAGCTGAGCCGCCTGACATCAGCTGTGTTAGCACTTCTAACCTCGATGACTTGGTTCAGGTGCTGTCAGGTGGGTCGACAACCAGAGACTCAGTGACTCATTTTTCATTAGTAACTTAAAATTTTTACTTTTCTTTTTGGTTTGGGGTCCCCTCCAGTAGTGGTGATCAAACCCAGGACCTGAAACATGGTAGGCAACTGCTGTACCTCAGCCACATCTCCGGCACTCTTTTTTTTGGTACCGGGGATTGAACTCGGCACCTTGCGCTTGCAAGGCAGGTGGCGGAACCACTGAGCTAAATCCCCGGCCACTAGCGCTTTTTAAATCTTGTTTTGAAACGGGGTCTCACTGAGTTGCCCGGTCTGGTCTCAAATTTTCTGTCTTCCTGTCTCTGCCTCCCAAATCACTGGGGTTATAGGAATGTGCACTGTGCCTGGTTTTAACAGATATTTTGGGGGAGAAATTTTGAGACCATGAAAACATCCCACTTCTCCTTAAAGCTTCATTCTTCGGTGATTTTAGAGCGCAGTGGTGGATCTCACCACAGCCTTTTTCTGGTTGTTTTGATGCCGGGGATTGAATCACAGCCTTATCACTGCTGTTTCCTAAAGGTGATTTTGTGTTGCGCTCATTCTGTCCACATTGTAATTGAAAATCTCCTGTGAAGCTGTGTTGCTTATGTCCTTATTAGCTATTTCCTCATATCATTGCAGAGTCAAGGCCATTTTACACCGTGCTGTAAGACCCAGCACTATTAGGCCTTATTTAGCTGTTGAAATTGTTTAGCTTTGGCACGGGAAACCCTTTGACGTTGTTTCCCGTGCCCCCTTGTGTCCCTTTTATTGCTATTACCATTGTTATTCTGAGCACTCTCGTAACCTCTGACACTGTACCATTCTCCAAAGTCACTTGATATTTTCTCTGCTCCAGCCCTAGAGTTAACCACTTCTCAAGGGAGTTCTATTTCTTTGTATTAAAAAATAGTATTTAGAAACCAAGCTGTGGATTCAGCACTCGGGAGGCAGAGGCAGGAGTATCACTGTGAGTTCAAGGCCAGCCTGAACTACGTAGTGAGACCCTGTCTCAAAACCAAACAAACAAGCAAGCTAGGTGTATGCATTGCTACTGGGGTGTCCCTGCTGTAGGCCCTTCCGGAGGATAGAGCTAGGAAAGATACATGCATGTACTAACCGTGAGTCCTAAAAAATAGTTTTCGTCCTAAAAAATGCTTTTTAAATAAATGTGTTTGCAAAACTTTAATGTTGATAAAAGTTTGATAAAACTTCAAAAATACGCAACTATTTATATTTTGATTTCTTGAGACAGGGTCCCACTATGTAGTTCAGGCAGACCTTGAACTCACTGTGTAGCCCAGGCTGGCCTCAAACTCAGCGATCCTCCTGCCTCAGCCTCCTGAGGGCTGGGATCACAGGCCTGCGCTATCACTCCCGGCTAATAGTAACTCTTCCCTCCTGGGCTGACGTGCATAGGTGGGAGGGGCGTGGCCAGCAGCACCTGGGGGTGGAGCCCAGCAGAGAAGGCTGGGGAGTGGGGGAGAGGCTGGGTCTCCCGGAAGGGTTGGCTAGGGTGGGGGAGGCGGGGCTGGGCCCTGGCAGGACAGCGGGTGGGAGAGTAGTGGAGGCGCTGGGACAGCCGTGTTTCTCCTCAGGCTGGAGTGCTGGCGGGCAAGGGCCCAGGGGTGGCCGCCCCAGGTGCGGCTGAGAAGAAGGTGAAGATGCTGGAGCAGCAGCGCATGGAGGTGGGTGGCCGCTCAGTCAGGGAGACCCCTGCCCTCCGGGGCCGCGCAGGTTGCGGCCCTGCCTGGCCCCCGAGCCCCGGCTGCCATCCTCCTGGTCTGCCCACAGCCCCACAGCGTCACTCTGAGGCCCGGAAGCCTGGGAGGCTGGGGGGCTCCCCTGATGAGCTGTGGATGGAGGAGGTGATGGCAGAGGAGCTTCTGGTGGGGGCTCCCGTCTGCCCCGGAGTGTCCCGAGTTCCAGCTCTCCCCTTGCCTCGCATCCAGCACAGGCCGCCCTGGGCCCAGGGCAAAGCCCACGCCTTCTGTTGGTGAAACGTGACTTTTGATACAGGCCCGATGGTGACTGTGTCTAGGGTTAGGGGAGCGTGCAGGGGCAGATACGGAGGGAGCCCTTGGAGGAGCCTGGGGCGTTTGAGAAGTCCGCCCGCTGCACGCACTGCACTGCGGGAAGCTGGTGTGCAGGATGAGGAGTCGACCCTCTCCGTCCTTCCCTGCTTCTAACCCAGCTCTTCCCTCAGCTGCTGGAGGTGAACAAGCAGTGGGACCAGCACTTCCGCTCCATGAAGCAACAGTATGAGCAGAAGGTACTGTGGGCCTCCTGGGGTGCCCGCGGGGCGTCTTCATCTTGCTGCTTTGAGGGAGGCCCAGCGGAGACTCGGGTGGTGGTCGGTGGTCGGGCCGGTGAAGACGAGCCTGGCCCCCTGCCCTCACCGCTCCCTCCTGCTGCCTCCACCCAGATCACCGAGCTGCGCCAGAAGCTGGGGGACCTGCAGAAGCAGGTGGCAGACCTGGAGGCCGAGCGGGAACAGAAGCAGCGTGACTTTGACCGAAAGCTCCTGCTGGCCAAGTCCAAGATTGAAATGGAGGAGGCAAGTGTGACCCGGCCCTGTGTTCTGCGCCCTGCTGCCCGCCAGAGGGCCCTGGGGGCCAAGAGCCAGAGCTGGCACTCGGGGCGGGGCCCTGTCCTTCCTTCTGCCTCAGTCTCCCCTCTGGAAATCAGGCTGGGTTAGCTGTTGCTTTTTGGGTTTTCTTGTTTTCTTTCTGAAGAACTTTGTGTTCAGTTAGAATCTTGGAATCCAGGGAGCTATACCAGGAAGTGTGCAGCGCAGGAGCCATGAGCAGCAGGCTGGGGCTTTGCTCAGCGTGTAGTCCTGAGGCCGCTTGCAGGGCCGGGCCAGGATGGATGTGTCCCACCCTCACATCGCCTCACCAGTGTGTCCCAGGCCCTGGGCACTGTCTAGCCCTCCCAGCGGGCAAGAGGCAGGGCTGAACAGCTCATGAAATAACCGAACGAGTGTAACGTACTGCAGGAGGAAGTCGCAGGGACAGAGTGTGGGGATGTGGGTGCCAGATTCAGTCTGGGGGTGTCAGGGGCCCATGAAGAAACGACGTCTGCTCTGCCAGCCGGGGCCCCCCAGGACTCTGGTGCAGGGTACGGAGGAAGGGCCGTGCGGCTCCCAGGCCCTCCGCATGGTAATTATGGCCCCATGGCTCCCTCCGTGGGAACTGGGCATTGCCAATGCGGACTGCATTCCAGCCCTGCTTCCTCTCCTTAGCATGTGACACCCAGCGGCCTTTCCGGGCACTCAGCTGTGTCTCAGATCCAGGGAGGGAGGGGCCTCGTCCTCTGCCCTCGTGAGTGCCTGGCACAGCTTGTGACTCGAAGCGGGCTTGATGGCCCTTGGGCCCTTCCCCACGTGGCTGGGGGTAGGTGAGATAAAGCCCTGGGCTCTGACAGCTCTTCCCTGTCGGCTGAGGAGCCGTTTACAGACAAGTGTGGCTCTGAGCGACAGAGGCCTGCTTCACCCTAGAGCCTGCTGAGTGGGGAGTCCACAGCGACCCCCATGCACCTCCAGCCGCCCAGTGGTTTGGAGAATGCTGACTGTGGGACCCACGGGCTGGGCAGAGCCTGGCCTGTGGCCTGTCCTCCTCCACGCGCGCGAGTGCATCACTGGCAGGTGTTGGCGGGCGGCAGATGAAGGGTCGAGCTGCGGGGAGCACCTCCCGGCCCTGCCCCATGCAGCCCCCAGCCGGGCCCTCCTCCGTCTCGGTGCCTCTTCCCACATCCGTCCACGTCCGCACACGTGGCCTCCACGGAAGGAGGGAGCCGTGGGACTAGGCAAGCTGGGCTCCCAAGTGGCTGCCTTGGGCCTCCTCCCCGTGCCGGGCGAGGCCGGGCCTGCTGCTCCTGTGCCCTCCCGGCTGTGGCACAGAAGCCGGAAGTCTCTGGTGGGCGTGGGAGGGCCGCTCGGCTCTGGGGACCCTTCTCCCAGCCCCCATCTGTGTCTGGCTCTGGAGGAGACCGTCTGCCAAGGGCTGCATTTAGGCTCAGACATAAGCCCTGAAGGGCCCCTGAGGTGTTGCGCACAGTTCACCCTCAGGGTCGCAGCGGGCTCCGGTGTGAGTCTGGCTGGAACATGGCATGCAGAGAGGATGCCGTGCTCAGACTGGGGCTTGGAGCCCTGCGAGGCACCTCTGAGCCCCGTGTTATGAGCCCCTGCCCCTGGCCTGTAAGTAAGCTCAGAACTCAGACACCAGGCCTTCTCTGTGCGGGCCAGGCGGCCCTTTCTGCACCTCCCGGTGCCATGTGAGTGATGAAGCGAGGTGGTGGCCGAGCAGGGAGAGGCAGCGCTCATGAGGAGGGCCTGCAGGCTGGCAGGAGTCCTGAGGAGCCCCCGCTTACCTACCTCATGCTCCCTGCAGACCGACAAAGAGCAGCTGACTGCGGAGGCCAAGGAGCTGCGCCAGAAGGTCAAGCACCTGCAGGACCAGCTGAGCCCCCTCACCCGGCAGCGCGAGTACCAGGAGAAGGAGATCCAGCGGCTCAACAAGGTGGGCGCCTGGCTGCCCTAGATGGAGAGGGCCTCCTCTCGATGCTGCCCCGCTCAGGGACTGCACACTGAGCCGGTGTGACGGCCCCAGCCTCCCCGGCCACCCCTCCTCAGGGCCGGCACGTGCTGCTCTTCCCAGGGCCCCAGCTGGCCACCCCTGCCTTGGCATCCCTCGCTCAGTGGATTCTTCCCTGTTCCGTGCTCCTAGTGCCAGCAACGTGCATGAGCCCTCACACCACCATCTTCTGCCTCATTGGGGAGTGCAGCCCTATCAGGCGGTAGATCCTGGCCTTGCTCAGTGTTCAGGAAGTGCCCACTGGAGGAGGCGACCGTGCGAAGTGGATGTGCCCACACAGGGCATCCAGCGTGGGTGCTGGCTGAGGCAGAAACCCTCTGACCTAGCCAGGCTGAATGGCGGTGGGACGGGGCAGGCCTGGGGCTGATTCCAGTACCGGCTTAGCCAGCGCAGGCGCTGGGCCTTGTTCTTGCTATCTGGCTCCACCCATTCTTGTCCTGCTCTCCCTGCAGTGCAGGGTGGGGGCTGCTGCCGACCGGAAGGATGGATGGAGCTTGGAGAGGAGGTGTTCTCTGCAGGCCTGGGGGATTGTTGAGCTTGTGGCTCAGCTTCTGGTTCCGTGCCGACGGTTTTCCTTTCTTTCGCTCTGCCTCTGGCCCGAGTTTGGCTTTGCCTGGCCCGAGCCCTGCTGTCTGGTTGGATTCTGTGTGGGCACTCACTGTGCCCAGTCCAGGCGCCGCGGGACCTGTTTCCACGGGGGAGGAGTGTGTGTCCGGAGGCTTGGCGGGACCCTGTCCATGCTACTCACTGTGAGGGGAACCTCTAGGTTTTCTTGGCAGAGTTGGGGACGGGGACACTTGTGTGGCTGAGCCGAGCAGGGCGGGCGGCCTGCCATGCCTGTCACCCAGGCAAGTCTCTCCCTGTCCTGGGCCTCAGCCTGCTCATTTAGGAGATGGGCCGGGGCAGGAGGCTGAGTGGAGCGGTTGCCTCCCCTCAGAGCACACTGAATGGTCTCCTGGCTCAGCGCCTTCCTTGGGCCCAGGCCCCAGCTGGAGAATCTGCCTTCTCGTCCTGCCAAGCATGGCAGGCAGGGCCGAGGCCTGGCGGGGGTGAAGCCCAGGTGCTGCTCAGGGTGACTGGCCTGGAGAGGCTCCAGAGTCCTGAAGGAGCATGCAGCACGGCAGGCGGCAAGGGCAGCTCTCGGAGACCTTCAGGATGAAGGAGCAGGCACGGCGCCACACTCCTGTAGTCCCTGCTTCTCAGGATGAGGCGGCTGACTGCGAGTTGGAGGCAGCCTGGGCTACGGAGCGAGAGACCCTGCCACAGAGAACAGGGAGAAGATGCAAGCACACCGTTCACATACAGGACTGTTACTCGAACACGAAGACTCGCTGGTTTTACTTTCAGAATGTTACTTGTTGATGTTTCGGTGTATCTTCAGTGTGAGAAAGGTGGAGGTTAAAATCCAGGCTGGTAACCTGGAGGCTGGGGGAGAGCCTCGGAGCTGCACAGCCGGGCAGGGCAGCTGTCAGAGACTGAGTCCCCCACACTTAGGTTTCCTCCTGGCCCAGGTGCCAGGACCTGAGCCTCCCGCTCAGAGAACAAGACCCCCACCACAAGGACCCCGGTTAGCCCTGGCCAAGGTCGCACACTGGGTTCAAATCCCTGCGTTGCCGCTCACTCGCTGTGTGGCCTTGGACAAGCACTTTGGGTCTCAAGCCTCCGCTTTCACATCTGAGACGCAGGAGTGAGGGAGGCAGTTGGGTCTCCTCCTCCGACGCCTGGAGCGGCTTCCACCAAATGCGTGTGTAGAAAGTTAGGTCACGCTCTGTGGGAACAGTGCTGCTGATGGTGGTGATTCCTGTCATTGTGAGTGAGAAGAGGGTCCCTGAGGATGACCCCAAGGGCCCTGACCTCCCGGCTTTTAGTTGTCCCTTCGCTGATGGCTCTGTCCCTTCTCTCCCTGACCCCAGGCCCTGGAGGAAGCACTGAGCATCTGCACCTCCCCATCATCCCCAGCAGCGTTCGGGAGCCCAGAAGGGGCCGGCAGCCTCCTAAGGAAGCAGGAGCTGGCCACACAGAATGAGTTGCTGAAGCAGCAGGTGAGGATCGGGGGAGCTGGAGCCCCCCTTTCCTGAGGTCCAGGGAGGTCTTGGAGTCAGGGGGACCTGTAATGAGCGGCCCACGTCCGTGTCCCTGCTTAAGTCCCTCCTGTGCCGCCTTTACGATTTAGCCCTCTCTGCTGCACTGGCTCTTGCTCACCTGCTATGTAAAATATAAATTTTAAGTACATGTATTTAAAAGGGAACTTTCTTTCATTACTATAAATGGAAGAACCTATGTATTTGCCGCAAATTGAAGAGATACTCTCTCTTTGAGAGACACAGAGGACCGGAAGCAGAGTGAAAGGCTCTGGCTTCCCCTGCTGTTCTTTGCATCCTCCTAAACCATCCTGCTCGCACTCAGCGCCTGTGATCGGCAGTGAGGAAGCAACCCACAGGATCCCTAGCCGGCCCTGCCTGGATCCCCAGAGCCCTGCTGCAGGCTGCCCTGGGTCTCAGAGCCAGCAGACCACAGGCCACTTTGGCCACCCTGGGTCTGTGCCTCTGCCTCTTTGGGCCTCACCAGATGCAAGGATCGCACTGGTCCATGGCTTTTCATCTTTTTTTTTTTTTCTTTTTTTTTTTTTTTGGTACTGGGGATCGAACTTGGGACCTTGCGCTTTCGAGGCAGGCGACGGAACCACTGAGCTAAATCCCCGGCCCTTCATCTTTTTTTTTTAAGCCATGAATTTTTGTTGAAATAAGGTCCTACCGTGAAGTCAGAACATAAGCTAGAGGGATGGGAGCCGTTCTGCTCCAGGCTGGGCGTGTGGGCAGGCAGTGCAGCCCTCCCGCCCGTGGGGAAGCCCAGGACTGGGCGAAGCCAGCCCTGATGCCAGTGGCCCCCGCCGGAGCATGGGGTCCGAGGCTGCGAGGGAGGCAGCCTCGCTCAGTGCTGCCCTCCTCTGCCCACCGCATGCAGGTGAAGATCTTTGAGGAGGACTTCCAGAGGGAGCGCAGTGACCGGGAGCGCATGAACGAGGAGAAGGAGGAGCTGAAGAAGCAGGTGGAGAAGCTGCAGGCCCAGGTCACCTTGTCAAACACCCAGGTGGGGCACCGGCACCGAGGAGGCCTGTCCCCATGGGGAGAGAAGGGTTGGAGGGGCTTGCTGTCCCCTTCCACCCGGACCTGCAGGTCCTTTGCCCTCTCTGGCCCCTGTGCAGTGCCGAGGTCTGAGTCCGAGACACTCGGCTTTGACTGCCAGTCACTTGATGCTTAGAGAAGCAAACTTAGGAACTGACCCTGGCCTCCCGCTCGTCACAGAATGGAACTAGATGTTGGTAGGAAAGCCCGGAAGCCGCACACCCCGACCTTTGTCCAGCCGCCCACAGAGAGCAGGCCTCAGCCGGACTCCTGCCCTTCCCGGGGTCCCCTGGGGTGAAACTGGTCCACTGCCCAGGCCAGGGAACCACCTGTGTCAACGAGTTTCTCCCTCTCTTCTCCAGCTGAAAGCATTGAAAGAGGAGGAGAAGGCAAAAGAAGCCCTGAGACAGCAGAAGAGGAAAGCCAAGGTGAGCAGCTGCAGCGCCTGTCCGGTGGGGAGCGAAGGGGGAGACGGTCTGAGGTCCTCTGCGGCACGAGCCGGTCATCTGTCCTCGCACCCACCCTCCATGCCCACAGAGCAGATCTCCATGCTGTGTACCGGGCTGTTCCTTCCCAGCGTTCCATGCCCGCATCCCTGACCTCCGTGCCCTCCGAGGGCTGGGATTCTGGAAGCGGGGAGGGGAGGTGGTGTCACTGCGAGAGTCTTGCCAGGCAGAGCCACATGCGAGCCTTCCTTGCAGGCCTCGGGAGAGCGCTACCATGCGGAGCCCCACGCAGAGCACATCTGCGGGGCCTACCCCTATGCCTACCCGCCCATGCCAGCCATGGTGCCGCATCACGGCTACGAGGACTGGTCCCAGATCCGCTACCCCCCGCCCCCCATGGGCATGGACCACCCGCCCCCGATCCCAGGCTCACGCCTCTACCATCTGGTGAGTCTGCCCCTCCCCGGGGCGCTGGAGACCCTTGCTAGGGAGCGAGATCTGTGAGGACTTCGGACACTGCAGCCTCAGCACTTCCTGTCTGTGGGCAGCATTGGGCAGAGGCCCGGGGGCAAGGGGTCTTCACCTGGGGGCCAGCATCCCTGGGGCAGATGGAGAGGTTGAGAGAGACGCAGGGGAGGAAGGAGGTCAGAGTGTGCGCTTGACTCCGTCATCCCCACAGGCACCAGCTTCCAGAACTTGGCTGTGTTTCTTTCCTTTTGCTCCTCTTTTTCTTTTCCTCTTCTTTTCTCCGATTTTGCTTTCTTTCCTTTTCTCTTACTATTTTTTTCTCCAAAAAATGCCATCATCTGGCCCTCTTCTCCAGTCCCTCTGCCACAACCCCAGTCTGCCCGGAAAGTCACTGCTGTCCTCTCCAGTGTCCCCCGGGTGACTTCTTTGTACTCTGGAGCAGAGTGTAAGCCAAAGAGCTTGGCCACTCAGAGCCAAGCCTGGCCCCTTTCCTAGCTGGGTAACATTTATTTCCTACCCTTCTGAGCTTTAGTGTCCTCACTGGGAATGTTAGCCTGGACATTTCTGAGGATTCGGTTGTACTTGGTTAATGTATATCTAGTTCTACACCGGCATGATGGCTGCTGTTGCAATTTTCAAGTGTGGCTGTGGATTATTAAGTGTGCTTTTGTTGTAGCCAGAGTACACCTGGCGCCCACCCTGTGGCAGTGTGCGGAATCAGAGCTCCCAAGTGATCGACGTGTCTGCAGCCCGGCCCACAGAACCAGGTAGGAGTGGTCCCTTGTCCTGAGGCTTGGCTCCCAATGGGGGAGACCGCTCTTTACCTGCCTGGATCGGCCCAGTTTGGAAATGCTGCTGCTGCTGTCCGACCTTGGTGGAGGAAAGACTGGCTTCCTAAACTGGTGTTGAAAAGTTCACTGCAGGGCGGTGGGACTGCAACCATTCGGTCAGTTTAGTTTGTTGCCTTCATGCCAGGCCCCATGCTGGGTCAGGGGTGCTGAGATGCCAGAAGCAGACACAGCCTCTGCCCCTGTGGACCTGCTGTCTAGTGGTCTAGGGAGGCAGAAAGGGATTTTAAAAGCCACACAGCAGGTTGCATTGATGAGCAAGAACAGGTTTCCGTGAGAGCAGGGAATTGGGGGCCCTGACCTGGAATAGGGGCTGAGGAAAGCTTTCCTGGGGGCTGATATCCGAGTTCAGACCCTCAGAATGAGTGGCGTTAACTGGGGGAAGAAGTAGGGGTGGAAGATGTTCTTGCAGAAAATGCCAGACAGCTTCCTGTTCCCAGGACAAAAGAGCTGACCTAATTTATAAGGCAGAAAGGTTTATTTTGGCTTACAGTTCCAGTCCATGGTCACTTGGTCCTGTTGCTTTGGGGCTGTGGCGGGACTGCACAAGGCGAGAGCACTTGGCACGTCACGGCAGCTGGGAGACACAGGGAGAGCCTGGGGCCCCGGCATCCTCTTCAAATGCACCCCAGTGACACTAGGCCCCACCTGCTAAAGATCCCACCGTCTCCAGCAGCACGACAGGCTGCTGACTGTGGATCATCAGAGGGTGTTTAAGACCCAGCTGTCACATGCCACCTCTGTCCCCCAAAGGCTCAGAATGCAGAATGTATTCAGTCCATCCCCAAAGGCACCAGAGTCTTCACTACTCCAGCATTGCCGGGAAGTCCAAAGTCTCCAAGACTCAAGGCAAACTCAGCTGTGAACCCCTATAAAAATTAAAAAGAAATTTCCCTATTTCCAGCATCCAGTAGTGGGATGTACACTCTTATTCCCAGAGAGAGGAGTGGGGCCACAGAAAGGAAGGATCCGATCAAAGCCAGACGGAAGCCCAGCACGGCAGACGTGAGCCCTGCAGCTCTGTATTCAGAGCTTGGTGTCAGTTCCTGGGGACGGAGCAGCCCCACCCCTGCGTCCTGGCCAGCTGCAGCCCACATGGCCCGTCAGGCGGGCGGTCCACGCTCCTGGCGTCGAGGAGCTGGGTCCCCTTTTGGCACTGGCTTCACTTTCACAGCCGTGTCCTCCAGCCTGACAGGAGCTGCTTGCAGTGGATGGGTCCCTGCTGACTCTTGGGACGCCCTCAGGCCACTTGCTGTGGGCCCGGAGGACACTGCTTCTTCTCAGTGACACCAAGCCTCACTGTCCTTGGCAGGAACCTTATGTGTGCTGCTTTTCTAGACAAACTGCAAGTGTTTCTTACCTGTGTGCTCTGCTTTCTTGCTCCTCATTCTCACAGTAAATCTGGCTGAAAGCAGCCATCAGTACCCATGCCACTGCTGGTATCTGTGCTGCCTTGAAGTCTCCCAGAGAATCATCCGTCACCTGTAGACTCAGCCTCGGACGTGTCTCGGAGAATAGACAGCATTGTAGGCAGGCTCTTTGCCAGAGTGGAACCTGAGTAGCCTCCGGTACAGTTTCTAGCAGAGTCATTTCCACCTGGAGCCTTGGAAGCAGTTTTTACTGTCACCTTCTGGCAGCATTCTGGTCCTCCGAGTCCTCAGCAGGCCACCCATTAGTGTCTCTCACAGCACTGGAAGTCTCTCTTCCAAGCCACTTCTCCAGACTGCCAGATTCCTCCCCCAGAGCAGGCCCAGAGCTTTCTGAACCACATCACCAGGGACAGTCACAGCCGTGACCCATTCTCAGGACCAGTTTGTGAGCCAGCTGTCTGCCATGGGACAGAACACCTGAGAGTCAGTTTACCAGGGGGAGAGACTTATTCTGGCTCACAGTGATCACTTCGGGCCTGTGGCAGTGCCATCATGGTGGGAGGTGTGGCAGGGGTCTCATGGCAGTCAGGAAGCAAACAGAAAGAGGAAGGGGCCAGGCTCCCAACTGTGCCTTCAAAGGCATCCCCCAGTGAGCCTCTGTCCTCCGGCTAGGCCCTTCCTCCTGGAAGTCCCATCATATCTCAGTGATGCCACAGGCTGGTGGGCCTTGGGGGGACATTACAGTCCAGACCACAGCAGCGTGGTAGGACGGAAGGAAGGTGGCCAGCTTAAGGATCTGAGGGAAAGCCAGCATGGCTGCTGAGAAGATGCTCGGAAGGAGAAGGGCAAGGCAGGGAGAGAGTCATGGGCCGGGCCTTGTGGAGCATGGTAGGACCAGGCTGTGCTCTAAGTGTGGTGTGGAGTTGTTGGACATTTTAAAGCAGAGTGGCACGAGCAGTTCAGACAGTACTCTCTGGTCAAGTCCGCCATGGAAGTGGAAGGGACTCAAGCCACGTTTACTAGTCAGGAGGAGACTTCGGGCCCTAATGGCTGCCCTTGCCCCCGTTGGGACTCTGGTGGGGCAGGAGGCACTCCTTCACCTAGCGGACTCTGGGAGTGTATCTCTCGTGTGGAAGTGGTAGGGAGGGCCAGTTCATCTCGGCACCAGCAGGAACTTTCTAGAGAACAGTGCAGAAGTGGGGCTGACTTGCTCAGGACAGTGAGCAGAGGCTGGAGGATGGATGATTAGTGGGAGGGTCTGGTGCCTGGAAAAGGGACTGCGCTGGGTCCTGCTCCCAGGGGCCTGGAGCCCTCGGGGGCTGCTTGGGTGAGTGGCCAAGGGCAGCCTGGTGGGCAGGGCTGATGCCTCACTTCTGCATCTAGAGCCAGGCTGGCTGGGTTCATACCCCGCTCCACTGCATCCTGGATCTGAGAATTCAGCAGGTCTTTTCCAGCACTGCCTGCGCCCCTACCCTGCTCCATGAAGGGTCCTAAGCAGCCACCCCCAGGGCTGCATGAGGGGCCACAGCTGCCAAGGCACAGCCTGCACTGAGGTGCACTCCGTAACTCACTGTTGTTTTCACTGGTACTGAATTGGCTTCCATGTAAGGCTTTAAAACTAACCATGCCACCTAATTTTTAAGTCCTCAAAACTTTTGTTTACTTAAGAGTCTGCAAAAAATGACTGTGAGGGGCCTCAGTGAGACTGGATTGTGTCATTTGGCTCCACCTTCATCTTGCAGAGCTGGCTGACCTCAGATTACCGAAAAGCTAGAGGCTGCATGCCCTGTGCAGCCAGAGCCTCAGCGGGCAGGAGGCTGGGATGGGCCTCACCTCACACCTCCAGCCCTGCGGCCCTGAGGAGCTCCCACCTGGCTCCTCTTCCTCTTCGGGCGTGACACGGAGAAGCTCCCTGCCTTGCCTCCCCACCGCATGGAGAGGCCTCGGCAGGCTGCCGTCCTGTGCTGAAGCCGCAGGATGTCCATCCTGAGAGCGAGGTGCAGCTGGGACCCCTTCCCCTGAAAGCCTCCACAGAAGCGGTTCTGGCCCCTCGGTGCCAGGTCCGGTTTACGAGTATGTGTGAGCTTTGCTCCGAGCTCTGCAGCAGGCCTGCCCCATGCCCATCCCTATCCCTCTGTGAGGAGCTGCAGGAAGAGTGGGTTCTCCAGAGCAGAACAGTCGGACAGAGGTGCTGTCCACCTCCACCCAGACAGCCTGGCCAGAGCCTCCACCCCCAAACGCAGGCCACTGCAGCCACATCCGCAGAGGGGCCCTGGGCCCTGCCCCCGCAGCTGGAAAGGTGTGGTGTCTGAGGACCACGCAGGGGTGGCTTCTGACCCTACACACCTATTTGCACAAATCTTGGACATAAAGCCAAGTTGGAAACCAACATCCTGTGACTGGTGTTTTATGTTCCTGCTTCTGCACCTCTCCCACGTTCCCTGAGAGCAGCACCAGAGGGAGGACCTGGGAGGGCGTCGGGGCCCTGGCTGTGGGTGCTGCCTCTGCCCACCCATCAGGAGGCCTGCCTTCGAACAGGAAGGTGAGCTGGTGGAGCCCACACACCAGCAGGAACCAGAGCCAGCCTCGGGGCGTGTCTGTTGTGAAGCATGCAGGTTAGGCACCCCAGGTCCTCAGAAAGCAGTGTGATGGCCCGCACCTGTAATCCCAGCGCTCAGGAGGCAGAGGCAGGAGGATCGCCACGAGTTGGAGACCAGCCTGGACTACATAGTTCAAGGCCAGCCTGAGCTACGTAGCCAGACCCTGTCTCGCCCCCCGCCCCAAAAGTCTGTTACTTACACACACTTACGTTAACTATATCATGTGTTTTCCCCGCGGCCCAGGCGGGGCCCTGAGCACCGCCTCTCCTCTCCTCGCCACCCTCCGCCCCTCCCGCACCCCCCTGGATGGCCGCAAATGAAGCACCACGGAGGCTCGGCTGCTGCAGAGAAGCCTTTACTGGGCAGACGGGTTGACGGGGGAACAGGGCAGGGGAGGGCAGAGGGCACGACCTCCGCAGAGACAGGGGCGGCGTCCCTGCCGGGGCTCAGCCTGAATGCACAAGGGCTGGCCCGGGACAGGCTCAGGGGGGGCCCGCCCTCCGGGCTTCGGGCCCCTCCCTCATGCGGACGCCCCGCGCCCTGCTCTCGAGCTGGCGGCCTGGGCGGGGTCGTGGGAGGCCCTTCGGGAAGGAGCGGCTGCGGCGGCGAGGCCCAGGCGGAGGCCGGAAGCCTGTGCACTGCGGCGGCGCCGCCGGGCGAGCGGAAGTCCAGGTCAGCGGGGTAGAGGACCTGGTTTAGGGCTCGCGAACTGTTGCCATGGGGACAGCGGGAGGAGCCGCGGTGTCGCTCCCGGGCGGGCCGGGTGAGGAGCGCGGGAGGACGGCGGTGGGCAGGGGCAGGGGCCGGGGGGGCGGCTACTTCCCCGGGGCCAGCAGGGCGGCCTGCCGCCTCATGTGGGCCAGGATGTCCACCTTGACGCTGCCCACCGTGGTGCGGTGGTACCAGCGCATGACGGGCTTGCCGTCGGGCCCCACCAAGAACTTCTCGAAGTTCCAGCGGATGTCGTGGATCTTCATGGGTTCCCAGAAGAGACGGCTGGGCGAGCCCAGGAGCTCGGCGGTGGGAGGGCAGGAGTTCTGGGGCGGGAGAAAGCAGGGCCTTAGCGCGGCGCCCCTGCCGGATCCCGGACGGAGGAGGGGCGGTTTGGGCCGAGCCGTCGGCTGTGACTGGTGATGAGGCCCAGGGCCGCTCGGGCCTCACCCCCGCCGGTTGGGTGGGCAGCGGGTGGGCAGTGGGTGGCCTAGCGCCCGGGCTGGGGGAGGCCGCTCACGCACCTTCAGGAACGTGTAGAACTTCTGCTCTTTCTCCCCATTTACGTCCCCTTTCTCAAAGAGCTGGAAGTTAGGAACGAAGCCTCTGCCTGGCCGGACATACCTATGAGTGGGGGTCCCGCGGGGAGGCGCAGGGCTTAGAAAGGAGGGAAGGGACCGGCCGGGAGGGAGCACCCGGAGCCGAGCGCCCTGAAGGGCAGGAGCAGAACTGAGCCCTCCTGGTGCCCTCCTGGTGCCCTCCTGACCACACACCTCAGTGCCCCGCCGTGCCGTGCTCCCCCACTGTCCCCATCGGCCCCTCCTCCGGCCCTGCCTTCCCTCATTCCTCGGAGGGGCTCCTCCTGCACTCACTTGAGGCTGGGGAGGATCTCGGAGTTCTCTCCTGGCTCCTGTTTTCCGAATTGGTTGCAGGGGAAGCCCAGAACCACCAGGCCGAAGGGCTCAAGCTCCTCCTGTAGTGCATTCAGTTCTGCGGGGAGGGAGAGGGGCGAGGTTGCCTGCTGAGGGGACAGCCGAGGTCACCCAGGCCTGGGGTCACCCTGAGCTACTGGCAGAGCCGGGGCTCAGATCCTGTCCTGCCCCAGACCCGGTGCACCAGGTGGAGGCAGTGAGAAACTTCTTGGCCAGCAGATGCAGCCGGCTGGTGGCCTGCATGCGGCCATCTGGGCGGCTCTCCAGGGTCTCCACGTGCGCACACACAGGAGCACGGGGAGCTAAGACTGGGACTGTCACCCCTGGCCCCTGTGATCTGCATCCCAGTGACAGGAACAGCCCCAGAGGAAGCAGTGGCGGGAGGGTGGGCTCTCACCAAGGTACTGGTCTGTCAGGCCTCAGTAGCTGGCCACGTTGACAAAGAGGATGTATTTGCCACTGTACTTCTTGAAGGGGATGTACTCCTCGCCGTCAATGGTGAGGGCCCCGTACTCATAGATGGTGCCGCTCACGCCGCCATGACACTCAGTCTGGGGGGAGAGACGGCACCAAGAGGAGTTGGAGCCGGAGGAAATGGGCCTTTCTCCACCCTGAGGCCAGCGAGAGTCCAGCAGGGAGAGTGGCCTGCCCAGGACCACACCGAAACCCGGACCTGGACACAGCCAGGATCTCCTGAGTCCTCGTATGAAATAATGATTATGAGCGTGCTCGAGTGTCTAATGAGCAACTTATCCTTACAGTCACGCGCCTCACAAGCACTCAGTAAGCGAGCGCTGTGCAACCCTGGAAATGGCTTCATAATTACCTCCTGTCAGTGCCAGCTTAGGAGCTCTTATGGGGCCTGAGGGAAGCCATCCTGGGCTCCTGGGTGGACTGACAGAGATGGGTTAGGTGGCTGTTGAAACAGTCCAGGCAAGTGATGAGGAGGCCTGAACTAGGCCACTGGGAAGGAAAAAAGGACAGAAAGGAGGAAGCAGTGGGTGGGGAGTGGGCTCCGGAGGCTCCAAGTCTGGAAGACTGGAAAGAAAAAGGCCATCACAAAATAGGGGAGTAGGGCCGGGCCGGGATGGAGAAAGGCCTGCAGCAGGACTCCAGTGCCCGTTAGGGTGAAGGTGCGTGCCCAGCACACTTCCTGTCTGCCCAACTGTGCTCCGTGTCACCCTCTGGGATAAGGAGGGAGGAGACTGGCTTCACCTCCTGCTGCCACTAACTCTGTGTGGGCTCCAGCTGGCCCTGTGTCCTCCCAAGGGCTCCTCGAGCCACACTAGCCATTATGGACCCAAGGACTGGAAAGCATCGCCGCCGTCAGTGGGGCGGGCGGAATGGGGTAACCCGGGAGCCAGCAGGACCCTGGCCATGCCCCAGCCGATGGAATTCTAGGTCTCCTCTTGAAAGGGTGTCCCTGAATCATGACCCTGACTGGGGGGGGGGGGTCTGGCGGGAAGGAAAGGCCGGAACCCTCGGTGTTAGGAGGCCTCTAAGGTCCCCACGGGCCTCTGTCCAAGGAGAGATACAAAGACCGTACCCAGGCGCCAGGAGAGTGGCAGAGGAGCTGGGCTGCTCAGCCAGCCGTTCCCTCCCTGCTCAGCAATTCGAATTGAGCCTGACATTCCACACCCAGGACTCTGGGCGGGTGCTCAAGGCTGGACCAAGACCCGACCCTCCACACTCCTCCCTCACTTCCGAGGCCCCAGCTGAGGTGGATCCCACCTTACGATGCAAGCACACCAGAGCACGGCAAGCATCCCAGCTGGTCCTGAGTGCTGGCAGCTGGATAGCAACACCCCTAGCAGCTCCATCCTGACCTAAGCACCATCTCTGTGGACTGAGGAGGAGAAAGCCATGTAGCTCAAAGACGGGCCAGGAGCTGCCAGGCTCAGGCTGCGGGTCGGATGAGGCACGGGTAGCCCTGGCACTAGGTTGTGGTCTCCGTGGTGTGGCCTCAGGCAAGTCACTTTCACTCTGCTGCACTGAGGATAATCCCATCTGCTCTCAAAAGGGTTTCGAGGATTTATTGGCAGATCACAACAGGTTCGAAATCCTCTTGAGAGAAATAGGCGTGTCCAGCCTTAGTGGCTCCTCTGGCTGCAGCCAGGGAACAGGGCCCTGAGGTTCCTGCAGGATGGTGGAGAGAGGCCTTGGATGTCACCAGCCAGCAGGCACAAGGTGACCTGCTAGCCATCAGGTCCCCAGGAGGAGGAATGAGTGGTGAAGCCTCCACACTTCCTGCCTGGGCCAGTGAGGGGTCAACGGGTGGCCGTGCCAGGGAGCTGCCAGCCGCGCTCATACTGGGACTTCAGCTGGGCCCCCCAGGATAAGGCCCCTGTCCCTCTCCTCTGGGCCCATGGAACCCTTCAGCCCTGTGTCTCGAACAGGATGGTCAGAGGAGACAGAATTTGAGGGACAAGAGAGGAGAGTCATGCTGGCCTGAGGGCTGGGCCGGGGTGGGGAGGGACCCTCAGCCCCTGGCTAGCGAGGGTTGCTGGTCTGTGCCGTTCTCTCCCATCCTAGCGCACCTTCTGTGCGATCCTGTGACGGGTGCACTGCACTAGAAGGGCGGCCGGAGACCTGTGTCTGGGCCTTGCCACACCTCTGACTGTGCAGACAACCCCGTCCCCTCTCTAGGCCTCCAGCTCCTCCACTGTAAGATGGAATAGAGTCATCCTGTCAAGGGCTCTGCAGCCCTGACGTAAGCCTGTGGTCCCATGACCCTCTCAGCCTAGTTTAGTCACCTAGAAACCAGCGGTTACTAGGATCCTGTGCACATCAGCAGCCATTACTGTCCAGCTTCTGCAAAGTCCTTTGTAGAGCAAGGGCAGGGAGCTGGGCAGTCCCAAGCTGACTGAGGAGGGACTGCAGCAAGGAAAGGAGTTGGAAAGAGGGAAGCATCTCCCTGGAGCTGGCCCCTTTGGGCCCCCATTCAGCGCACGCGCCCCCCCCCCCATCCTCTTGTCCTGGCTAGGTCCTGGAAGCTGGGGCAGTGGCATCACAGCTCTCAGGACCAGGAGTAGAGATGGGCATGTCCAGGTGTCGCTGGCAGCAAGCCCTGGCTGGCAGCGTGTAATCTGGCCGCATTGCACCCCAAGACTCCTAGAGCACAGTCACCCTGTTCTGAGCCCATCCAGCCTCTCAGAGTTCTGCAGAAAACATGTGGCTATGGCGAGTTTTCCTGGGGCCACCTTTACCTCCAGCCTGCTCGGGGCAGGGCCGGTCTTCCCTTCCGGGCTGTCCCCAGACTGAGGGACAGGGCTGACTCCATAGCCTGGCTTCCCACTGCCCTCCCCACCTCTACTCCACACCCTGAGCGTCAGGCGCGGTCCCATCCCTGCCCGGGAAGACGCCTTCTGGTCAGGTGGTGCTGAACAGTAGAAAGGAGTTTGTGACTCTAAGGAGGAGCAGACTAATGGGGTTGAGGCTGAGAACAAGGGGGAAGAACCCTGCTCTTGGATACACCATCATGGGCTTGTAAAATACTAAAGACCCAGAGGCTTTTGGAAACAGAGCCCCAAAGCCTGAGCTTACACAAGCATTTTTTCTTCTGGTCTTTTGGTTTTTGCTGTTAGGGGGTGCAGTTTGAGACAGGGTCTCACTTTGTAGGTCAAGCTGGCCTTGAACTCACTATGTAGCCTGGGCTGGCCTCAAACTCATGGTGATCCTCCTGCCTCAGCCTCCTGAGTCCTGGGATTAGAGGTGCGGTAAGCATTCCACAAACAGGTTGGGGAGAGCAGGATTGAGGTTTTGGAGACATAAATCTCTGGGTCTGTCTCTACTGATTTCTGCCTTCCCTGCCCTGGGGAGGAGGAAAGGTCTGGCCCCATCCTGGCTCCTATTAACCATGGAGCTAAGCAGGCCTGCCGCCCACTCTGGCCCCAGCATCCCCAGCCCCCTAGGGTTACATGCCCTCCTGGGATGGACTGGCCCCGAGAATCCGGGCACGGACAGCAAGCAGGTTGGGTAGACCTCGGTCCCTACTCATTCTGCCCAGCTGCAGCGCCCAGGCCAGACTTAGGGGAGGTGGCAGACGTCGGTCACAGGTGGGGTCCCTGCAGGCTCACTCACCTTGGACTTCTCCTGTCCGAGGCTCCAGGGGACGGAGCCGGCCAGGAGCAGGGACAGGAGGCAGGACGCCCGAAGGAGCCGGGCCATGGCCGCGTTGAGCACTGTCTGACAGCCAGGCTGCCCGTCCGTCTGGGCGTCCGAGCCTTGCAGCCACTTTTCAGGCCTCAGCGATGGCCAATCCATGGCCAGGCAGGGTCCCCCGGCCAATCGCAGGCTGGCTGGGATTTCGGGAGCGAGTAGCATCCGCCCTGCGCTCCACCCAGCCCAGGCCCCAGGCGATGGGGACAGAGCAAGTCTGGGCTGTGACTGACGGGAGTGGGGAGAGGCAGGCAGGAGGCAGACGCTGCTTTTCCCAGCGCAGCCCTGCAAGAGGACTAACAGCACCCAGGGCCCAGGGAAGGCTCCGCCCTGGCAGGCAGTTCTTACTTGGGCTCCGAAACACCCCCTGAGGGTCCTGCCCCGGGTATTGAGGGTTTAAAATTTCAGCAAGGGCTGAAGTGATACCTCTGGGACATTTAGTGCCTATAGGTTGAGTCCTTAAGAAACCAAGTGCTAGTGTGCGGGGATCCCCCACCCCCTCCTGGGATTGAGACACACACACACTTTTCTTTTGAGACTGGGTCTTTTTGTTTTGCCCAGCCTGGCCTCCCGAATAGCTGGGATTTCAAATGCTGGCTAAGGCAGGGGACACTCGTCTGCAAATGGAAATCACACTTGCTGCTTGTGCACTCTTTAAATTTTTAATTGACACATAAAAATTGAATATTTATGTAGGATGTGAGGGACGTGTTCAACCTCCAGTACTGCAAAAAATAAGAAAGAAAAAGAAAACTACGTTTCTTGTGCAGTCTTGAACACATTGCTGTCGCTCTGTGCCTCAGTTTCCCCAGATGAGTGATGACGAGACTAGTCAGTGACCTCTGAGGCGCTCTGACTGGCTGAACAATGTGCAGTGAGTGACAGGGTTCGCCCAGGAGCCCCTTGAGGAGGGGCCCGTGCCACCCCCAGCCCAAGGTCTGGCGCAGAACACTGCTGGGCGGATTAATCCATTATCGATTTGCTCTTCTGCTCCAGACCCTTCCGCTCAGGCCCGGCAGCTGCAGGTCTGAGCCGCCCAGGAACCCTCCTGACCCCAGGTGAGGGACCAGGTGGAATCTGCCCCCGCGGGAGCCAGAGAGCTGTCCCCACAGACCGCAGGTGCCCTCCAGACCACCGCGCCGAACCCGCAGAGGCTCACCGGGTAACGAGGATTCTGTGGCCGCCCTCCTGGCCCTGTCTGGTGGCCTGAGTCCCTCGTGAGCTGCTCTCTAGAAATCTCTTCTGACCTGGAAGTGCCGTGAGATGCCGCCCTTCACTGTGACTGAGGAAGTAATGTCCGCACGGGACTCGGGGGTCCATCCCTCGGGAGCCCCCGTCCTCAGACCGCAGTGGGTGGCAGGAGGACGCCTGGGAGTGAGTTACAGCCCAGAAGCAACTGGATGGACAGTGGCTGAAACAGGACAGTATGTGCTCAGTGAAATGTTACTTATTCCAGCACCTCACAGGCCTAGAGACAGGAGCAATGTACTCCCGTTCCCTCAGCAAGTCAGCGTCATCGGGGCCCGGGGCCAGTCCAGGCTCGGGTCCTGTCCATGTTCTCTTGTTTTTGTTGGTTTGTTTTGAGGTTCATAGTTACCCGGAGATGCACACGTCTGTGCCCGTGAAACCCAGTGTCCTTCAGCAGCACAGGCATCTGCTGACCCCCGATGTGTGACTCGGGGACGTCCGGGTTTTCTAGACGAGATCATCCCTGCCCTCTGAGGTGTGTCCAGTGGAGCCTGCCCCGGGGAGACACGCAGGGCCAGCGCAGGCTGCCGGCTGAGAGGCAGCCCTGCCCTCGGCGTGCTCCCTTGTGCCTCATTTTCCTCTGAACCCCAGGCCTGGTGTTAGAGAGCCAGACCTGGGAGTGCTGCTTCTGAGCTGCCGGGGCCACAGGCAGTCCCTTCCTCCTCTAGGTCTCTGTTGCCCATCTGTTAAACAAGGGGCTTTGCGGACCTCGCCGCAGTGGTCTCCAAGGCTTTTCAGTCCCAAGGCTGAAGCACACAGCCTCGGAGCCCCATGGGCCAGGAGGTGCTGGCTAGGGAGGCAGGGAGTGCGCGCTGGCCCTGCGTCTGGCTGTAGAGGAGGCCTGGCCCCTGCCAGCAGTGCGGGGATGGGGCTGGAAACAGCGCCTGGAGCCTGCTCAGCACGTTTGATTTAGCTGCTCCCAGGCCCCACTGTTTTCGAAGAGTTCTCCACCTGGCCGCTGCCCAGTGCCCTCGGGTCAGAGTTCAAATTCCTGAGCGCCTCAGAGAATGCTCAAAATCCATCTGCTGCTTTAGCTTCGGTCCCACTCTTCTTCCTTGTCTCTCTCAGCAGAGCCGAGCCATCTGGGCTCCTCCCCCGCGGCCTTCTCTCCACCGCAGGGTCGTCCCCGTGCTGTTCCCCGGCCTGCACACCACCCTCTCCCTCCACCGGCATCCAGGTGGCTGCCAGCTTCACTCCCTGAGGAAAAAGCTTTGTTCATGCCCCTGGCTTTCCTGCAGTTCCTGGATTGTTTGATCTTCTCTCCCTCAACCCTTTGTTGTACTTTGTCATCGTTTCTTATTTATTTCCTGCACTGAATTACAGAGTGCACAAAGACTTCATTTCCAACACCTCAGATAGGGCTTGATAAATATTTATCACACAAATCCATGTCCTACCCCTCTTTGGCATATCAAATAACCAGTTTCAAGTTAGCATGTGCTAACATTTTGAGCCCACAAGACTGGTCTGGCCAGGCACGGTGGTGCACACCTGTAATCCCAGCATTCTGGGAGGCTGAGGCAGGAGGATTGCAAGTTCCCGTCCAGCTTGGGCAACTTAATGACTTGGTGAGACCCTTTTCAAAATAAAAAATAACAACAACAACAAAGGCCTGTGAATGTAGGTCAATGTGAAGGCCCTGAGTTGAATCCCCAGTACAGAGAGGGAGGGTAAAGAGCTTAGTCTGGCTCCTGCTCTTAGGAAGATCTGACATGTGAATTTCTCTGAGTAAGCTTCTTGGAGGAGAGTAGATGATTTGCATTAGCTTTGGGAAGGGAGGGGTAGAAACAGACGCTGGAGAAGAACCAAAAGCTGGTTTGGCTTCCGGTCTGAGAATGTGCCCTTCTGCACGCCAGACAGCTGGGTGCCCGCACCTCTGCACCCTCGGGGAGGGGGACACAGGGGAGCTCATGCTGATCTGCTTGTTGAGTAGACAAGGATTGCAGAGGACTGAACAGGAGGGATGTTTTAAAAAGTGCTAGGTAGGCCAGGGATTTAGCTCAGTGGTTTCACCGCCTGCTGCGCAAGCGCAAGGACCGGAGCTTGATCCCCGGTACCAAAAAGAAAAAATAAATAAATAAATAAATAAATAATAAATAAATAAAATAAATAAAAAGTGCTAGGGCCGGGGATTTAGCTCAGTGGTTTCGCCGCCTGCTGTGCAAGCATAAGGACCCGAGTTCAGTCCCTGGTACCAAAAAAAAAAACAACAAAAAGTGCTGATGCCTGTGGCTTCAAGGAAGCTAGAACATGAGTTAATAAGCGAGAAGGGCTGAAAAAGCCCAAACGAGGGCAGCCTCATGGCTGCTGAGTCAGGGCTTCACTCGACTCCACAGCGGGTCAGCCAGCCCCATGGCACAGCCGGACGGAGGTGGCCGAAGGGAGGCCCTGCCTCATCCCTTTGGTGCCAGCTCCAAACAGGGACTCTGTTTTGCAATCAAGAAAGGATTGCAGAACTCGGGCGGGGCCTGGAGCTTCTGGTTTTCTAAATAATCATCAGATCCGATCTCAGAGTCAGCGAGGAGACAGAGTGGGGAGAGTGGGTGGTTGTAGACTTCACTTCTGAGACTAATGCCTTCCAAGCTCTGGGCCTCGGTCTTCTCACATATGGAATGAAGCTTGGACAAGTTGATCTCTAAGGGTCCAGATCTTAAGATAATGAGAATCACTAAGAGTAACAGCCAGCATTACATACATACATATGTAAGTATTTGTATTGGACAGCGCTGGCTTAAGGTGCATATTCATAAGGGATTAGTATAGGATTATGGTTGACTGAAATTTAGCCTTATTCCCCACTGGGTGGCCCCAAGGCTGTCTAGGGTCAGTGATTTTCTCCCAGGACTCGTAGAGTGCAGCAGATAACCCTCTGACACTGTGAGTTTTTACAGCACAAGGCTACAAGGTCAGCAGGAAGAGAAGGTATACAGGACAAAGTCAGAGGGACGAGACCACAGCTTCCAGAGTTTGTCTCCTGGTGCAGTCACCGGGGACATGCTTAACTCCTTGCTAGAAGTGCGTCTCGAATGTAAAATGCTGTCTCCCAGGGCATGCGCTAGGAGTCCGAGGCTTCTCTGAGGGGCTGGTCATACAGGCATCCTTTGCCAACCACAGACCAAAATTTTAGACAACCAGAACTAAAGCAGGTGCTCAAAATAAATGGAATAGTCTGTAATATTTAGCCACAGAGCCACTCATTAAGTCTAAGGATGGCGCAAATTCTCTGAAAATAGCCAAGCATGGTGATGTACACCTGTGATCCCAGCACTCGGGAGGCTGAGGCAGGAGGGTCACCACGAGTTCAAGGCCAGCCTGGGCTACATAGTGATTTCAAGACCAGTCTGAACTATATAGCGAGACCCTGTCTCAAAACAAACAAATAGGGCCGGGGATTTAGCTCAGTGGTTTTGCCGCCGCCTGCTGCGCAAGCTCAAGGACCCAAGTTCAATCCCCAGTACCAAAAAAAGCCCTGATGTCTGTGGAACTCGGAACCTGCCCCTTCCTAGTCCTCCGTGGTCAGGGCCTCCCTATGTCTCTGGTGGCGTTGGTCAGTCTGCCCTTCGTCCTCTAAATCGTGGTTCGGCCGGGAACCACAGTTTTGTCGGAGCAGTAACAACTTTCATAAACAGAAACCAAGCAGTGGGCAAGCCGCAGCCTGCTCCCGAGGGTGCAAAAACCAGGCACTCCTGACCGAGCAGAGCGACCAGAGCCTCGGGAGACTCCCCACAGCCCGGGCTTCCTCACCCGACCCAGCCAGGGTCCCGTCCTTCTCGGCCTTCCACACCTCAGAAGACTGGTGAAGGGAAAGTCGCCCAGAGTCCTCACCCTGTCTCTCTCTGTTCCTTCCTGCGAAGCCCTGGACCCC